CTGAGGGTTCGGATCCCATATAGAGACCGGTCCACTCACTGGTTGAGCGTGGTGCGGGCGCAACACTAAGGGTTGCGATCCCGTTGCCGGTCACGATCCCGTTACTGGTCACGAAAAAAGACAAAAAAAAAAAAAAAAAAAAAAAATGTCCAAGGATTGACTGCTGAATCCAAGCAATTGTGCAGTGATTCCAATTCCACAGTAAAGAAGAGAAAAATAAAATTTCTGTGAGGATGCAAAGTACTCAGCTGCAGGGAAAGATAAATTGCTTCTCAAGAGTCAATTTTTTCCTCAGCTTTTCCATCATGTAACCGGGTTTAGCAGTGGGACTTCAGACCCTTGGTAAGACTGAGAAAGGCTGGGCTCAGGCCTGCTTCCCCAGAGGCAAAGCAGGAGACGCAGACTGATGTGGAAGTGAGTTATTAAGAAAGTGCTCCCAGGAGAAACCTGGGAGGGAGAAGGTGAAGGATGGACAAGGGGAGCAGCCAAGGGAGGGTGTGGTTTCAGGCAGAGTCTCAGCCCCAGCCTGACCCTATAGGGAGCTAGAGAGCTGCTCTGCCCAGTATGTACTCACCAGCTGCATATGGCTATTTAAATTAATTTAATTTAAACGAAATGGAAAATTCAGTTCCTTGGTCTCACTAGCCACATTTCAAGTGCTCATCAGCCACATGTGGCTAGTGACTACTATTTTGGACAGCACAGTCCTAGAACATTCCCATCACCACCAAAAGTTCTGTTGGACAGCATTGCCTTATAACATATAAATGACTCCATCAGAGTTTGTCCCAGCTCAGAAAAGTGACTGGACTTGAACACTCCCATAGTGGTCTGTCAAAAACAAAGGATGCTGGGAGGGATGTCACCTCGCAGTCTCCTCGGGCCATCTGCACAGGCAGCCTCAGCTGCTGCAGTGGCTCAGGGACGTTGCTGAAAAAAGTCATGGATATGAGCCCTTAATGGCAAAGCCCCCAACAGGAGGGATGAGTGCACCAAAACAGTAGTGAATCTGAGGAAGTTTGGGTGGGGCATGGAAAGTATCTGTTACAGGCTCACAGTGACAGGGATGCCAGGTCTGTATTGTGAGCAAAGCCTAAAACCATAGCCTGTTTCCGATATGGAAATAGAAAATGGAAATCCCTCCAAGTGTGTGGTTGTGGCCATTTAGAACAGAAGATACAGCATAAACAAACCGGGTCATCTAAACATAAAGGAGATCCAGTGGTAATATATGTTATATATAATATATGTCACTTGTTATACGTATATATGAGCCCTATGAGCAGTGACAGCATTAAGCACATAATTAGCACCCTGATCTCTAGCCAGTAGCCTGTAAGGCAGACTATGTCCAGGTCGTTAAGGTAACTGGCTATTTGTTCTTCCTTTGTCCCCTTGAGATAAGTAGGTAACCTGCTGCCTAGTCCTGAGCAGCATCCTGGAAATCGAAAAGCTGGGAGTTTCCATCCTAGTCTTCCTCCCACCAGAACGATGCTTAACCCCGGGCTAATCACTCCAT